TAAGTTCGCTTGTAACGTGCCGGGAGCGTGAATAAATGGTCCCCAGTGGGGCCTAGGCACTTGCGGAGACCGGCCCCCACCCCCTTCCGCCGGCCAGGCCCAGGCCGCCGCCGCCCACCAGCGCTGGACCCCGAGGCAGAGGCCAGAGCCTCGGGCTGTTTCCGCAGCGCTGGGGCGCAGCGAGGCTCGCTTTCCTCCTGCTCTGCCCCTTGCACTCCGGAGCACGACAGTGCGTGCGTTTATGGCCGCTTTCCTGGAGAAGGGCTGTCTCGCCCCGCAGTCCCGCAGGGAGAAGAGCAGGTTCGAGTCGCCGGCTCGGCTCAAACCCCTCCTCCCCGCGAAACTTTCCAAAGGGGAAGTCCTTCTGAAGAAACGAAAGTGAAATTGAACCAGGGCCATTTCCCCGCCGGCCGGCCGCGCGCCCAAGCTGTGGGCTGCGCTGCTGACCCCGGGGGCACCTGGCGGCCGCGCGTGGGGGGCGGGCCCACCTGGGCAGGGTCGCGCCTGGGTGCGGGGGGGAGGGGGAGGCGGCTCGCCAGCCCCGCCCAGGACATGCATCGGGGACGCCATGGACCCCAGGCAGGTAAGTCGGCCGGGCCTCGGCAGGCCAGACCTTGCTGGGCCCGCGCTCCTCTCACCCCTGCGTGCACTCGCGCGCGGGTCGGTGACAAGGAGCGTGGCGTGTTGTGCGCGCCGTGTCCGAGGAGTTTGCAGCCTGCCTGTGAATTCTGCGGAGCTGAGCAGGGTGGGGGAAGGGGAGCTTAAGGGGAGGATGCGCCGGGTCTGAGGAGCGCGGCCTGAGCCCGGGGCCCAGCGGCCCCCTCCCTCTCGGCGAGGGCCCGGCGTTGGCGCCTCCCGGGAAACATGCTTCAGCTTTACCCGTCCCCTCTCTGCACCCTTTCCACTTTCTTAAGGCTTTTGGCAAATGAAAAATAGCCCTTCTCACCTGTGGGAGAAAATTTATATCCATCGCAGCTGTATCGTTATTGCTAAAAACTCGCAAAGCCCAAATGCCTTTTAACAGATGATCGGATCAGCAGACTGGGATGGCTCCATACAGTGTATGTGGCTAGGCCAGAAACGCCGAGGAGCTCCTGATTCCACAAGTGGAACCTCGCATTCACTACCCTACGCAGAGGAGGCTGGGCCCAGAAGACTACGCGCTTCTGGGTCCCTTCACTTGACATTGTGGGAAGAACAAAGCTGGGGGGCAGGAAGCAGATGGTGGCTGCCTGGTGGTGGCCCCGGCCTGGGTGTGGGGGAAGGAGCTGATTGCAGAGTGCATGAGAACTTCCTGGGGACATGGAAATGCTCTGTGTCCTGACTGTGCTGTAGTTACAGGGCTGTATGTGCTTTGACTCCATACAGTCAAAACTCATGGAATAACACACTGAAAAGGATAAATTTTATGTATGTAAATTATACTTCCATTTTTAAAAGTTATTTATATTTTTTTCATTCCCTTCTTCCAAAGGATTAGGGACACCTGACCTGAAGGAAAAGCATTTCTTCACACATACCAATATATGACCCTCTGGAGCCCATGTGGTTCAGGTGGGGGCTCAGCTCTGGATCCTAAACGCAGAAGATTAGATGAAAGTGAACTGGATGGGGTATGGCTGTGAAGGGGCTTGGGGATGTTGAGGGACTTAGGAAGGATCCCCACGGGCTGGTTTCCACAAGCTCGCTCTCACCATTCAGTGGCTTTCCACATGGCTGTTCTCAAGCCATGCTTTGGCTTAGCTTTTAGAAGGCTTAAGGGGGCATAAAGACAAAATTAATAATGTCCCTGTAAATTTCCTTAAAATAACTATTGTGAACAAATACTTGTATATTTTCCTTCCTTCTTGTCTGTGTTCACTAGTGTGCACACACATGCGCATAATGGTGAGACTTTGCCTTCTGTTTCCAAAATGGGCATAGAGCCTACCTGCACTTCAGCTTGCTTTTTTGTTGTTATTTAATTCAACATTGTATCATTCCTAGATTTTCTCCAGGTGGATATGAATAGATCGTAACACATTGCTTAAAAAAAAAAAAAAAAAAAGTACTGTTCCATAGCATGAACGTGTCATAATTTACGAGCGCCTTTTCTATAGACAGACATTCAAATATTTTGCAGATTTTAGCCAAGTAGCAGCAGTTTAAGTTTAGCATTTAGCTAGATTGACTTTAACTGCTTTGCAAAATAATTGTTTTACCAAGGTCACTCCAACAGCTGATGGGAAAATCCCTGAAGTTCCCATAATTCAGCTGTGAGCTGGGCACTCACTCTCTGTGCCCACATAACACTTTGGTCCCTAGCAGTATGGTGGGGGGGCAGGGCAGTGTGCAGCAGGAGGAACAACAAAGAGATGGGATTGACCCTCTAGGGACGGCTTGTTGCTGCAATCACTAATTCAACAAATGTTGGTTCGGGATCAACTTGATGCCAGCTGCTATCTTCAGTGCTAGGAGTGCAGAGATAACTGAGACCTGGTCCTCGCCCCCCTGGGAGCTCACTGTGAAGTAGACTGTGCCCCCACCCCATCAATACTTGATGGAGAGTATCGGGAGTGGAGCCTTGAGTATCATTTCTGGAGCACTTAATATTGGTAATCACCTTGCAGATACACCACAATTTGTATGCGCCAGTAAAAAAAAAAAAAGCAGTAGTATGACCAAAGGTAAAGTAAGTGGTATAATAGCAGTCGAGAGGGAGGGGCTCAAGGAGGGGAAACTTCCATGGACTGTGAGTCAGAAGTCTCCAGAAGAAGGTGGCATTTAAGGAGAACTCGAAGGAAAGGGTGAGAGTTGTAATGGGGCCAATAGAGAGACCATCAGGCCCACTGGATTGGAATGTAGGGGTACAAAGATCAAGGCTTTGTGGCAGCCTCATGAGAAGTAATTAGGGGCTAGAGCTGGAAAAAGACACATTTATGAGAAACTATGGGGTGGGGGTAGACAAGATAGCGCTTAGCAACTACCCTAGTAGATGTGGGAGGCGAGGAAGGCAGGCCTCAAAGCTGGCTCAGGTTTCTACCCCTAATAACGGCGAGGAGAACAATGCTGTCAACAGTCGTAGGAATAGCAGAAGGGGCTGGGTTGAGGAAAAGGTTAATCTGGTTCAGAATATGTGGTGTTTGAGGTAGGGCAGGGTGGACAGACTGTCTAGGCATTTGGAAATTCACGTTTTAGCTTTACAAGGTGGTGGCTGGGGGTAATAGGTTGGAACACTGTTTCTTAAGAGGGCTAATTTAGGTTGGGGGGGGTGAAATCAACCTGGGGGAGGAAGAAGAGGCCCTTAGACAAAATCTTGGGGACTGATTATACCTAAGGGTAGAAGAAAGGGACCCGGAGAGACAGAGGAAGAGACGGGGCAGGAGACCGTGGGAGGGGCGTCGGTAAAGAAGAGTCTCCATCCACAGGGAGCCAGTGCGTGTTTGTGAAACGGGACCGAATCCACGGTCAGGAGGAGGAGGTTACGCTGCCGGTGCCCTCCCCCGCACCTGTGGAGGCCTCAGTGTGGGAAGAGGGCCGGGCCCTTGGGGAGAGGGGGGAACTGGCCGTGAGCCCCAGGCTGATTGAGGACGTGTGTGGGGCCAGAATGAGGACGCCTTGGGAGCCGCTGACCCACAGCCACGGCGGCCACCTGTGCACCGGCCCCTTGGGGGCCCGGGGAGGAGGCTGTGGACACACGGGGAAGTCGCCACGGGAAAAGAGCGGGACCCGGCAAACTCGACCCCCAGACTCAGGGTTGCCCATGTCGTCTGCGGCTGCCTCAGAGGCCCAGCTGGTCCTTTCCTGGGAGAGCGTTTCCGGGTTTGAGGAGCGGGGGTGGCCCCAGCTAGAGTGACAGGGAGATTGAGTGAGGAGGGGACAGGCCACTCAGGTGGCGGCCATTAAGGCACCCCAGAGCAAGGGCGCCGTGAGCATGACCCATGTGCTGAAAATCCCCTGGTGCTAGTTATTGAAGGCAGGGCATAGCTGCCCACAGGTCACTGGGGCTCTCAGGGCACTCAGGCAGGGGAGGGACGAGCGGGAGGAAACATCGTTGCTAGATGTCGCCCCGCAGGTCCCTTAAATACCTCCTGCCCCCTCTCCCATCCGGTGGACAGCATCTGGGACAGAGGATGAGCTGGCCCGTGTGGGTAGGGACACAGGTGTGCAGTGTTCTGGGAGGTGTGACAATTCGGGGCAGCCTGTGTCCTGGGGGACGGGATTCTGAAGGACAGGAGGCAGCGCAGGGACTTGGGGGGTGGGACTGAGGTGTCCAGGAATGGGCCCCGCCGGCGCCACCCGTCCGGGGGAGCCTGGGTGGTGCGGGCAGAAGTGCCCAGTGTCTCTTCCAAACCTGAGCACCACGCTGAAGTGTGAGGACAGTGTGTCCTTCCTTTCCTAAGGAAACCATCCGGCCCCCCCAAAACCAAATTCTGGGCCTCCCGGGGTGGCAGTGGCGGGCAGATGAAGCTGTGAGGTCCCCAGGTGGGAAGGTGCCCCCGTTGCTGCCTTGGAGGGCTGGGGCTCCAGGTCATCCAGCCCACGTGCGTTTTGTTCTCGCCGTCCAAACGGTAGATCTGAGAGACTGGGGTCCTGCACAGGCCACTTCTTGATCCCTGGACTCCACTGGCATTTTGAGGTTATTCTGTGTTTGTTTTAGAAACAAAGTAACAGTTATTTCTTTCTCTTTATCTTGGAAGGGTACTTACTTTAGAAAGTGGGAGGACTCATTCTCAACCCCCTAAAGTCCTGACAAAGGGGAGAGAATGCGCTAGGGTGGCGGGAGAGGCCCTGCTGAGGCGTCAGCGCCCTGTGTGCTCCTGGCGGCCCCGTGTGCACTGTCTTCCGCTCCCTCACGCTTCCCTGCGGCAGCCCCCGGGCCGTACTGGGTGGGGGGCAGGCCTTGCTGGGTCACATGCCCATCTCTCGCTCGCCTCTCCACCCGTCGGGAGGCAGGTGTGGCCCCCCCCAGGCTCGCTGCCGAGGTCCTCATTCACTTTCTTTTCTGTCTTCTTCTGCAGGGGTGTTCGCTCAGCAGATACCACCCCCATCCATTTCAAGGCTATGAGCACAGCAGGCTCAGACACCAACAGCCAGGGCCAGGATCTTATCCGAATCGTTTCCAGCTCCAGCAGATAGAGTTTCTCAAGGGGCTGCTCCCTGAAGCACCCCTAACTGGGAAGCAGGCACCATTACTGCCACCATTCGTCTCTGGACTTGGGCCGAGGTTTCCAGGACCAGCTGCCAGGAGCAGGGAACTGGGGACTTGGGGTGGCCCCAGGGGCGTGCCTCCCAGAAGTCAGGTGCTCCAGAGAGGGTCCCCACGTCCTGCCCCACGTGGCAGGACTCTGCCGTGGAGAGGGGTCGACAGGCTCTCCTCCCATTTCCAGGAACTAGCTATCAGCCAGGGCCAGGAAGAGAGGGTCTTAGAGCTCTTCCTGCAGGAGCTCGGGGAAGGGAAGGCTGCCACGGCACATGATCTGGTCGGGAGGCTCAGAGTCCCGAAGAAGGAAGTCAATCGAGTTTTATATTCTCTGGAGAAGAAGGGCCAGCTGCATCGGGAGGCAGGAACGCCCCCTCTGTGGAGAGTCGCCGTGCAGGCTGGGAACCAGCACAGCCAAGTAGCCAGCGCCCCCAGCCGTGGCCAGGGAGCGCCTGCCTCACAGCCCAGTTTGGAAGTTGAAGACAGACGCTCCGAGTCTGGCTTGGAAGCTCCTACCGAGCCTTTTGACATGGCTGAGATCAAGGAGAAAGTCTGCGACTACCTGTTCAGCGTGTGCGGCGCCTCTGCCCTGACTGTGGCTAAGAACGTCGGCCTCACCAGGGCCCGCGACGTGAACGCCGTGCTGATGGAGCTGGAAAGGCAGGGTGACGTGTACTGGCAGGGCACTGCTCCCCCCGTGTGGTATCTGACCGACAAGAAGCGGGAGCGGGTCCAAAAGAAGAGAAACGCAGACCTGGGCCCCGAGGCCGTGCCAGCTGCCGTCCCCGAGACCGGAGGAGACGCGGTGCTCCCCTCCCGTCACCCGGCCATGCCGGGCGCCTCGGACAGTGTGGCGGCTGCAGAGGTGCGGAATGGGCAGGAACCAGTCCTAAAGCTGGAAAGCCAGCAGGGGGCCGCGCCAGAGCCCGTAAAACTGAAGCCACCTGCCCACGACAACGGCCCCTCGAGAACAGGGTATGTTGACTTTGAAAATGGCCAGTGGGCCACCGACGACATCCCAGATGACTTGAATAGCATCCACGCGGCACCAGGTGAGTTTCGCGCCATCATGGAGATGCCCTCCTTCTACAGTCACGGCTGGCCGCGGTGCTCGCCCTACAAGAAGCTGACCGAGTGTCAGCTCAAGAACCCCATCAGCGGGCTGCTCGAGTATGCCCAGTTCGCCAGTCAGACCTGTGAGTTCAACCTGCTGGAGCAGAGCGGACCGCCCCATGAGCCCCGGTAAGAGACCGCGGGGAGCCGGACCTGTCCCTCCTCCAGAGCAGCCCCGCCCCTCGCGGCGGCCCCGCCTCTTCCCTTTGCCTCTCGGGCTTCTGGCTAAGTCGCCCCTGTCGGCCCTTCCTCCCAGGCCGGAGCAGGAAATGCAGGCCTCGCACCAGCCAGAGTCCCCGCTGAGCAAGGGGGAGCCTGACCCTCTAGCTGGAAGGCAGCTTCTTCGGACTGGCCTTCGTGCCTCGGTGTCCTGCCTGCCTCCAAAGGCCGGAGGTCCTGAAGCCTGGACTCCCCTCCCCCCTTCCGTGGCCGGAGCTCCCCAGGGAGGCACGGGAGCAGGCGCAGGCCCCAGCCTCCTGCTCAGGTCCCGCCAGGACTGGGTAGTGTCGGGATTGGTGGCCCGCTTCTAGGGTCGCACACCCCCTCTGTACTTGCTGTGGTCCCGGAGCTGTGAATCAGAAAGTTCCAGACGGGTGGGCCCAGATGGGGCTGCTGCCGGGGGCAGAGACCGCGCAGTGCCCCACAGAGCAGGCCCGGGGCGGGGCGGGGCGCGTTCCACTGCCCTTTACCTTAGCCGCGCGAGCTGGTTCCCAAGGCCATGGTCCCAGCTGCGACCCTCACTCCTCATGTCGACTGTCTTCGTGACAGGGAGGGCGTTGCCAGAGAGCTGTTGAGACGGGTGTGTGTGTCCCAAAGCCGGCAGAGCCAGGACTGGTCCGTGTCTGGGACAGAGGCTGAGTGGCCCTCGTGCCCTCTTTTCCCTCCCCGCCCCCCCCCGAACTGGGGGAGAACAGTGGGTTTTGCAGTTAACCTTTCTTTGGACTCCAGCTGTAAGAAACGAAGACCCAGGAAATAAGAAATTTGACCTACCTTTCTAAATTGAAATCCCAGATTGAGCAAAGAGCCGAACAGATTTGAAAACTTGAGCGCAGGAGGTCCAAGCTAAGTCCGGAGGCCTGGAACAAAGGCTTTTTGGTTTTCTGCATTACCAGGGAGACGCCTTTCATCTCGGGCTCCGGACACGTGGAGCCGTAGAGTGACCCAGACCCAGCCGTAGCGCGCTGGATCTCTGAGGGAGGCTGGGGACAGGAGCAGGCCCCAGGAAGCGGCAGGTCCCCGATCCCTGTAGGCCGGTGGGGGTGTGAGGCTGTGCGGGAAGGAGGCTTCGCCGTCTTGAGGACCCGCCCTAGAGGTGGCCGGTCGGCCACAGCTGCTTTAGAATGAAGGCCGTTGGTGGCCGCAGTGGTGATTTTAGCTCATCATGTTTTGTACAGGCTCTCTCTTAACTCATTGTGAAGAGAGAGCGGGTCTCCCCTGAGCTGTGTTTGCTCTAATGAGCTCTGGGGAGAGTCGCTGGCTGCTTTGTTTCCGGAAGGTAGGGACTGAGGCTCCAAAGGGACAAGAGTCCCTCTGTGTAGCAGGAGGCTCCCGGGTGCAGGGCCCTGGGCGGTGGGGGGGGGGGCAGGGACGGCCGGCCCGCACTCACACATCTACTCACTTTCCGTCAAGATTCAAATTCCAAGTCGTCATTGGTGGCCGAGAGTTCCCCCCCGCTGAAGCCGGCAGCAAGAAGGTGGCCAAGCAGGACGCGGCCCTCAAAGCCATGACCATCCTGCTGGAGGAAGCGAAAGCCAAGGACAGCGGAAGACCGGAAGAACCGTACGATCCCACAGAGAAGGGGTCGGAGAAGGTAGGCGTCCTGCCCTCTGGGGGCCCCGTGCTCTGCTCAGGTCGCTGTAGCAGCATCTAACCAACCCCTGCAGGTGGTCTAGCGCCAACGGCCAAGTCCGTGGCTCAGAGGCCGCGTCCCCCTCCCGCCGCTGCCCCCCTTGGCCACGCTCCCCTCCCCTCACACCCAGCGCCCCTGCTTGCCCGCCTCCCAGCCCAGCTGGAGTCACAGACCTCCAGGCCGGAAAGCGACCCCAAAGCTGGTCGAGTCCAAGCGCCGTTGTTGGCAGATGAGAAACGAGACCCAAACCGTCTCAGTAACGTGCCCAGAAACTCCCTCAACCCTCTCCTTTTGGAACGTCAGCCCCTCGCGTGTGGCTGAGCCATCGCCGCTCCGCCAGGACGCAGCAGCCCGTGGTTGCTCAGCCCTTTCTCTTGTCTCTTGTTTTCTCCAGATGGCAGAGTCCCAGCCCAGCACCCCTTCCGCAGCATCCTTGTTTTCTGGGAAGAACCCCGTCACGACCTTGCTTGAGTGTGTGCACAAGCTGGGGAGCTCCTGTGAATTCCGCCTCCTGTCCAGAGAAGGCCCTGCCCATGACCCCAAGTACATCTCTTGTGTCATGTATCTCTGCTGAGGTTTTCCCTGGAGAGAGAGACATTCTCCTGCTCGCCTCCCGAGAGGCGGCCCATTACCCCACTGAGCAGTCCGCCTGCTTTCAGTACGGAAAGTGGGGAGCCGCGAGGCATGCTCACTGCTGTGCGGCAGACAGTCTGGGATTGGGAATTGCAAGCGCGAAGTGGGGACCGAGCGCTGGGGAGACGCTTGGCCTGGCGGTTGCCGGTGGCGGGTCTGAAAGGTGTGGATCTGGCCGTACCCGAGGCTCCGCACACCTCCACGTTCCGGAGGGGGGCTCCCGGAGGAGGCACGGCCAGCTGGGTGCTCACATGCCGCTTAGGGTCAGCCAGGCTGAGAGAGGCCGGAGGCAGGAGGTGGGCCCAGGGCACCGACTCGTCGAGGCGGAGGGGCTGTGTGGGCCAAGGCCCGGAGGCGATGTGTGCGAGGACCTGCCGGCTCGGAGGGGACGGCCCGGCGGAGGGGTCTCTGCTGTCAGGGCCGCTTCAACCCGGCTCCTCCCTCTCCTGCCAGGTTCCAATACTGCGTTGCCATGGGAGCCCACACTTTCCCCACTGCAAGCGCCCCCAGCAAGAAGGTGGCAAAGCAGATGGCTGCAGAGGAGGCCATGAAGGCTCTGCACGGAGAGGCCACCAGCTCGGCGCCTTCTGATGCCCAGGTGGGCCAGCTTAGCGACCGCGCAGCTCAGCATTGCCCCTGCGTCCCTCAGAGTTTCCGTAGGTGCTTACGGTTCCTCTTTGTGTGGCCAATTCTCCTTCAGCCTGGGGGCACGAACACCGAATCCCTTGACAACCTGGAGTCTGGGATGCCCAACAAGGTCAGGAGGATTGGCGAGCTCGTCAGATACCTGAACACCAACCCTGTGGGCGGCCTGCTGGAGTATGCCCGCTCCCATGGCTTCGCGGCCGAGTTCAAGTTGGTCGACCAGTCCGGCCCTCCGCACGAGCCCAAGTGAGTGTCCCAGCCCCGCCATGGCCACACGCCCCAGGGCGGGGAGAGGAAGGGCTGCCGGGCCGCGGGGCCACGGGGACGGGAGGAGTGGCCCCGCAGAAACAGATCCAGCCCTGGAAGACCCACAGTGGCCGTCTAGAGAGTACAGTCACTCCTACAGCAAGTATGCTCCTTTTTAATTGTTTTTGATTAACTTCATTTTTAAAGGAATACGTATGTGCATAGAAAATCATTCAGGCCAGTTTAAAAAGTATGCAGGGAAAAGTCTTCTTTCTACCTCAGGCTGATAGTTTCCTTCCCCAGACTTATACACTATTGCTAGCTTCTTGAGTACTTCTAGAAATTTTCATGCATATATTAGTACATTTTCTTTCTGTTTTGCTTTTTATTTTTTTTAAAGATTTTATTTATTTATTTATTTGAGAGAGAGAGAATGAGAGAGAGCAAGCACATGAGAGGGGGTAGGGTCAGAGGGAGAAGCAGACTCCCTGCCGAGCAGGGAGCCCGATGCGGGACTCGATCCAGGGACTCCAGGATCGTGACCTGAGCCGAAGGCAGTCGCTTAACCAACTGAGCCACCCAGGCGCCCCTGTTTTGCTTTTTAAACAAAAATAAGTATAAATCCTGTCTTCTGTCCTCCACCTGTCTCCTTACCAGTACGTCTTAGAGGCCGTCACATGTCTCAGATGCACGCACCGGTCACACTCCATTCTGTAGCTACGTATTTCTATACGTTGTCTGAATCTTTTTTTTTTCTTTTTTAACATAAGCTCTGCACCCAGGGTGGGACTTGTCATGAGCCCGAGACCAAGAGTCCCACGCTCCATGGACTGAGCTGGCCGGGCGCCACCCACAGCTGCATATTCCATTGAATAGATGCTTACAATTTTAGAGTTTTATCGAGCAAGAGATATAAAGGTCTTTCCTAAAACAGACAACCCCTGTACCCACCACCTAGTTTGGGAAAGAGAACGTTGCTCTTGATGTTGTAGCCCCCACTTTGCATTACTGATCCAGTCAATTTGCCGCGACGTCTGGGTCGGATGCGGTTGTGCTCCCAGAAGCAGTCCTCGTGCCCTGTCTGCTCTCAGGGGTAGGAGTGTCCAGGGCAGACATTTTCAGGAGGGGGATTTCTGGGTGATAGGTTACGTACAGTTTTTAAGGGTTTTGTTTTTTGTAGAGATGATAGAATTCCTTAAAATGAAACACAAGAATCTTGTCCTCACTCCTCCCTCCCCCGTGGCCCAGCTCTTCCTTCCTCACGCCCCAACACGCCGACACGTGGTAACTTCACAGCCCCGTGCCTCCTTCCAGAGCATCTTCATATAAACATGGGCCGAGCTGGTGTGTTTCTCCGTTTGTTACGTGGACGTGTGCACTGAAACCTGGCTTGCCGTTCATACGTAACAGGAGCATCTCGGCAAGTCTTCCATATCCGGTCCTGCTCTTTGTTGGAAGGTGCTCCATAGCTCCCCAGGGCACTGACCTGGGCTGCCCACCAGCCCCTAGTGACCAACACGTGGGTCATTTCCACACTCTGCTATTACAGTGCTGCTGTGAATGAGCTCTTTCTGTGCGTCTAAAATTTTGGTAAACATTGCTGAATCTTCCTGCAGGGAGATTACAGCGCTTGATGCGTCCTTCAGCAGTAAAGAACGGCTCTCCCCCTTCACCGTAACCAGTACGGAATCACAGGTTTCCCCCACGATCCACAAGGACAGAGTTCCTTTTAAATTTTCTGCCCAACCAGCACTGAACGCTGTTTTCACTTCTTGCTTTTTTCATAAAAGCAAAAAGCCTCTTCAGATTTCTTTTGATTGGTGGAAACAGGTACTTACATAGGTCTTTAGTAAAGGGGGAGTGGCGTAACATGAACTTTGGAAACGGGGGATATCTGAATCAAAATTTTTATCTTTGCCATTCTAAAATGTGAGAAATGATGTCTTCGTGCTGTGCAAAGATTAGTCTGTGTTAAGATGTTTGTTATTATTATTTACCAAATAATAATAAGGACAAAACTCAGAATCCCCTCCAGAGATTCCAAAAAGGCTTTTCGTAAAATTTAACATCCATTCAGATTAAAAAGCCAAACTGCTAATAAAGTAGAAATTATTGAATACCTCCTTAATAGCATGATAAAAACGTGTATCTGAAGCCAAAAGCCAGGCGCTTATTCCATGTTGAATGGGGAGCTGTTCACAGCAAGGTGGGGACACGTGGATGCCCAGGTCCTCGTTATTTCGAGGCACCAGTAGCTCAGGCCATCTGTTAAGACAGGGAAGGCGGGGAGAGGAAGCTTCTGTTACGTACGGATGAATGATGTGATCGTGTACCTGAGGAATGCATAAGAGGTGGGAAGAAATACCAGAGACAGAGGGGAAGTCAGGAGAGCAGGGAATTGTGAACTAACCTGCAAGCGCTGGCAACTTTTCCATGTGTGGCAGTAAGCAATTCGAAGATGTAGTAGGAGAAAGTAGCCTGTTTGCAGCAGCAGCTAAACAGATAAAAGACTTGCACGCATTCCGAGCAGGAGACATGCAGGCTCTGATAACTCTGTGATCAGATAGAAAACCCAATTCAATGACTGCAGCTGTCCCCAGATTAGTGTTTATGTTTCACACAATTCTACTAAAGACACTGGTAGAATTGACTTCTTTATTTTAGACCTGGAACACCTGAGACCCAGGTTCATATGAAAAATCCCATGTGGGGGAAGCCTGGGTGGCTCAGTCATTAAGCGTCTGCCTTCACTCAGGTCATGATCCCAGGGTCCCAGGATCGAGCCCCGCATCGGGCTCCCTGCTCGGCGGGAAGCCTGCTTCTTCCTCTCCCACTCCCCCTGCTTGTGTGCTCTCTCTCTTTCTGTCAAATAAATAAATAAAATCTAGAAAAAAAAAGAAAAATGCATGTGGGAGAATAGCCAGAAAGTTCTGAAAGAGGGATGAGCTGCACGGCCGTGGTGCGATGGCCAGGGGGAGGGACGGCAGAGGGTGTGGCCCCCAGAGCCCCTCACAGCAGACGCAGAGGCAGACGAGGCTTCAGGTCGGGGGAGGCTGGCCCCCTGCATCTCAGACACCGCTGGGTGTCTGTCTCCTTGCTCACGTCTGATCTCATTGTCAGGGACTTAAATATAAACTAGGGGTGCCCGGCTGGCTCAGTCAGAGGAGCGTGCGACTCGATCTCGGTGTTGTGGGTTCAAGCCCCATGTTGGGTGTAGAGATTGCTTAAAAATAAAATCTTAAAAATATATACATAAAATCTAAAATCTTTAATAAAAAAAAAAAAAAGGGCGCCTGGGTGGCTCAGTTGGTTGGGCGACTGCCTTCGGCTCAGGTCGTGATCCTGGAGTCCTGGGATCGCGTCCCGCATCGGGCTCCCTGCTCGGCAGGGAGTCTGCTTCTCCCTCTGACCCTCCCCCTTCTCATGTGCTTGCTCTCTCTCATTCTCTCTCTCTCAAATAAATAAATAAAATCTTTAAAAAAAAATTAAAAAAAAATATATATATATACATAAAATCATAAAATCTCTAGATAAAAGCAGGGATTTTTGCTTGAGAATTTTGGAGGGGCAAAGCCTTTCCAATAAGACATAAGATCATAAAGGAAAAAGACGGAGGTGTGGCCGTCAGGAGAATCAGTGTGTCTTAGAAGAACCACCTGAGGCTAAAAGACTGCGGGCCAATTTCCTTAAAAGTAAGGGTTCTTTTCCAATGAGAGGTGTGTGAGTTAAATGAACGTGTCGTCAGTGTGCTCACAGCATCCATGACGTCTCCTCCTGAGCCTTAGGCCCCGGGTGGGGAGCGGCACCCTCCCCACGGGGGACGCCCCGTGTTGTTTGTCACGGACAGCCTGAGGTGCTCTGCGTCCCTGCTGCCTACAGACTGCTGACTCGTGGTGCCCACCCAGCGCGGAGTGGCACAGAGCCCGCGCCAGCAGGGCTGACCCACAGTGTGGGGCCCGGGCAGGGGCGGCTCTGCGGGGACGGAAGTCTGGTCCCGGTGTTTGCTTCTGGGAATGAGGGACACTTACTCCCCTCGTATACTTAACGATTTGAACGTTCACTGGTGTCGTATCCGACTGCTCAATTTTAGAAGGTGGTTAAAGGAGAAGAGCTCACAAAATAGTGTCTTGTTTTAAACTTGTCTCCATAGTAAGCGATGTTACTCACGTCTTCACATTCGTCTGTTATCTGTGTTTCCGTGTATGTGAACTACCCATCCGTGTCCTTGTCCGTCCTTCCTTCGGCTTTGACTTAACTCACGGGAGAGCATGACCGCCATGAGGAGGGAATCGAGAACCCTAGCCCAGGGCGCCGGGAAAGGCCCTCCTGGCCCTGCGGGGCCTGCCTTTTGCACCCAGCGGCCCTCCCCGTGTCGTGCCCCTTGCTCTTCACACCCGCCTTTTGTCCATCCTCCCCTTTTGCTTGCATGAAACCCTCCCTCGGACTTCCCGTGACTCGTGCAGGATTTAAGAACGTACCGTGATCCGGGGGGAGGGCGTGAAGACTCCTGTGCACCTCAGGGAGGGGGCCCCAGGGGTGCAGGCAGGAGAACACGGCTTCCCTCTGCCGGCCCTTCTCTCGGCCCTTCTGGGCAACCTTACCTGATGGCACCACTCTCAGTGTCTCGTGGCTGGAAGGCACCAGTGGGGGGTAGGGGGGTGGGGACACAGCTGCTGTCGCTTCGACTGGGCCTGTCGAGTCTGACCTGCCCCAAGGAGAGCTCTTGGGTTTCGCCCCTTACGCTCTTTTCCCCCGGTCCTTCCCATGTCCGTAGGTGACCTCACCGTCCACCCCCTTCACCTCCTTCAGGTAGACCGGCCTCGGGCTCTGTGTCTTAGACGCAGCTCTCCAGCCCCTCCCCTCCTGCCTCTGGCAGCCGAGCCTCTTCTCTCCTCTAAACCGCTCTCCCTCCTTGGTTGATTCATTGAGAGACTGTTTCTGGACTCCATTCCGTTTGTTTGGACAGGAGCCAGATTTGAACCACTAATCACATGGGGAGACGTAAGGGCTCCTATCTCGTGCATGTTACAAAGAGCTCGAGGTGCATGGTGGGTTGAGAATCCGCTTGGCGTGGCCTGACCTTGTAAGACTTTGTAAGGCGCCGCGGCCTGGGGACGGGTCAAGAGAAAGCGTGGTTCTGGGGAAGGCCTGCGGTGGGAGGGAGCAGAGCCGGTGAAAGCCCTGCCAGGGCCCGTGGCCCTCCTCCCCAGCATGTTCACTACTCTGTTTTTGTACTAAATTCTCTTTCCCACTCTAAGCCGTTTTAGACCCTGTCCTCTTTATGTAGACTCCCACCAAAACCCCCCTTCCTTACTCGAAGCCCATGGTCTTCCGTCGCGCTTAATTGAGAAAAGCAACAACAATATGACAGATGCCTTACCGTTCCGTTGCCAAACCCGCGGGTCTGCATCTGCTTTGCTGTGCCCCCCTGCCCCGTGCCCTGGACCCCCTTCCACGCACCACCTCCCTCCCTCACCCCTGCAAGCGGCAGCCAGTCAGCAGGCTCCACAGCAGTGTGGAGCACCCGGCAGGCGCCCCCTCGCCGCCCTGCGCCCCTCGCCACCTCAACCTCCTCCTCGTCTTCAGGGTCTTTGCTTCCCTAATGCACTGTCCCCAGCAGTCCAGGGAAAGGCGACCACGGGCCTCCTACGGTTCCCGAGCAAGGGAGCGCGGCTGGCGGGTGCCCTAGAGCCCAGTGCAGCCTGGGGGGTCCCAGCGCACGACCCACAGCGTGCACCAGATACGGCCACGCTCGCGGCCACGCCTCCTCCCACGGCGCTTTGCTTGCTGTGGCCTTTTACCAGCAAACCTGCGTCGGGCCACTTGCCCAACAGCATTTGCTCACTCTGTGTCTCTGGGTCTCATTTCAGTGATTCTCGCAATATCTAAAATTTTCCGTTATTACGTTTAGGGATCTGTGATCGGTGATGACAACTCGCTGAAAGCTCAAATGATGGTTAGCATTTTTTTTTAGCAATAAAGTACTTCTTAATTAAGGTGTGTATGTTGTTTTTAGCCCTAATGCTGTTGTGCACCTGAGAGACTCAGTACAGTGTAAACCTAACTTTCGTGTGCACTGGAAAACCAGAAAATTTATTTTATCCCGCTTTATTGCAATATTGGCTTTATTGCGGTGGTCTGGGACCGAGCCCACCACGTCTCTGAGGTGAGCCTGCGTGTGTATTTGTGTGTGTGTGTATCTTTGTATAGAATTCATATTCTTTTCAAACACATGGAACAGGCATGAGATTGTCCTAAGTCTCAGGCAAAGGTCCGGCCCGGTTTGGCCCCCACTGCTTTCCAGCATCTTTCACGCCATGTCCCCCTCCTTCACGGACCTTCCGTTAGCCCACCTGCCCACACACACCTGCTGGCACAGGGAGGCACGTAGGCATGCCGCTGCTGAGGATAAGCAAGGAGTCGTGGGAAGCTCCGTGTGGTTGAACATACAGATTGATTCCTTTTACTGCCTGAGCCGATGAATCTCGGTAACGAAGCCTTATCTGCAGGTGGATTATCCAGAGCTGGCTTCCCCCGCCAGCAGTTTAGGATGTGATTGGAAGCTAGGATTCTTGAAACCTTGGCTGGTGGATGCCCCATCACGTTCTCCCCTCTGTGTCCTGGGCTGCCCTCCCTCCCACTCCCTGCGCAGCTCACGTGCCCAAGATGCACTCCCCTCCCCCCACCATGGCCATCCCAAGGCTCCCAGGAATCAAAAATAACTGCTCATGAAAGCTTAGGTCCCTTGTCTACAGCAGACCACTCCAGGGTGCGTCTGGGCCACTCGGGAAGTGAATGAGCAAACAGAATCCAGCACTTTAGCCTTAGAGCGTTAAACGGTAGCGATTCGAGTTGGGAGAGCATGTCCCTCTCAGTTCTGCTTGAGTTACGAAGAAAAGTCCGCATTTGGCTATTTCTCTAAACCCCGTCCAGTCCTTGCTGAACTTCCTTCACGACGCAGGCCTGGAGCCTCTGCAGACCGTGGTGCATCGTCGGCGTTTAATGACACTGTGGTGTCACTCGGTTCTGGGGCCCCCTTCGATTTATGGCAAGGGACTCCTAGTGTTCACACGAGGTGTCCCTGCTAAGTGTGGTTACATTTGAGCAGAGCCAGGTTAGAGAAGAGTGTGCAGCAGGCAGCAGACAAGGGGTATCTGTCTCTAGCAGAAGTCTCGGAGCGAGTCCCTGGTGCCCGAGTCTGGGAAATGCTGCCTGAGAAACAGCTGTGTCCAGTCGGGCGCTTGTCTTTATCCCCTACTTCTCATCCCAAAGGTTCGTTTACCAGGCAAAAGTCGGGGGTCGCTGGTTCCCAGCCGTCTGCGCACACAGCAAGAAGCAAGGCAAGCAGGAAGCGGCAGATGCGGCCCTCCGCGTCTTGATTGGGGAGAACGAGAAGGCAGAGCGCATGGGTTTCACAGAGGTAACCCCAGTGACAGGGGCCGGTCTCAGAAGAACTATGCTCCTCCTCTCAAGGTCCCCAGAAGCACAGCCAAAGACAGTTAAGACGTCTACTTTTGGTGCTATCTCTTTGCGGGGTCCTGCTGACTCCTCTTTGGGTGGAGCTGGCTCTTAACTTGCTGTCCCGTGACGTAGTCCCGGGCTTTCGCTGGTCCCTCAGTGACGCGCAGAGCCAGGCCAGCACGTGCGAGAGGGAAAGGCGGCTCAGCCGAGGGCGCTCGGCCCGGCCGGCCCCGCGCAGCGGCTCTGACGCAGCCTTGTGCCCACAGCTCCCCCTCACCGGCAGCACCTTCCACGACCAGATCGCCATGCTGAGCCACCGCTGCTTCAACGCGCTCACCAACAGCTTCCAGCCCTCCCTGCTCGGCCGCAAGATCCTGGCCGCCGTCATCATGAAGAAGGCCTCCGACGACCTGGGGGTGGTGGTCAGCCTGGGGACAGGTCAGTGAGGCCCTTCTGCGGGGCTGCATGCGCGCGTCTGGGGCCGGAGCCCAGGCTCTTCTGCGGCTCGCGTGGCCGCCATCCGCGTGCGTGGACGGGGAAGGGGCGCGGGAGGCAGGGGCGGTGCTTGAGGCTGGCCCCGTCCTTGGCCCCTCACGACCCACCTCTGTGGGGGCGCCTGGGCTCAGGTCGTGATCTCAGGGTCCCGATCTCTGGGTGGTGGGATCCAGCCCCTGAGATCTGGGATCCTGGGATCGGGCTCCGCGCTCAGCGGGGAGTCTGCTGGTCCCTCCCCCTGCCCCTCCCCTACTCACACTCCCTTTCTCTCTCTCAAAAAAAAAAGAAAAAGCCGAACAGCCTCTATCCTGTTCGTCATCACTTCCCTGGGAAAGATCACATTTGTTTTCAACACCTTCCAGGGAACCGCTGTGTGAAGGGGGACTCCCTCAGCCTGAAGGGGGAGACGGTCAACGACTGCCACGCAGAGATCATCTCACGGAGAGGCTTCATCAGGTGGGGGAGCGTGGGGGCCCCGTGAGCCTGTCACATGCCTGACCCCTCCGGGACTCAGGCCGCAGAGCCTGCTGTCTGCAGCCGGCCCTCTTCCCTCCAACTTTCTCAAAAACACGCCAGGACCTTTTGGTCCTCAGGGTTGTAGGGGAGCAGAACCCTTTCGTGTGCATCTGAGGACCGAGGAAGCCCCCTGCTGGCCCCCGCTCTGCCCTCCAGCTCACTGGTCTTCATCAGGTCAGGGGGTAGAAACGAAACTGACCTGAGAGGCTGGCTGGCTTCCTGAGGTGTCGAGGCCTCCGGTGGAGGGTCCCCCACCTCTTCCGCATGAGAAACCGCGGAAGCCTGCGTGTCTAGGGCTTTTCCCTCCTTGGGGCCGGGTCACAGAAGCCGCTGTGGCACTAGCCAGAGTTGCCCTTGTAGGTTCCTCTACAGCGAGCTCATGAAATACAACCCCCAGACCGCGAAGGAGAGCATATTTGAGCCTGCGAAGGGAGGAGAGAAGCTCCAAATCAAAAAGACCGTGTCGTTCCATCTGTACATCAGGTCTGTCCAGTCTCTGCTGCCAGGCTCCAGGGTTGGGTATCCGAGGGCTGTCGGGCCCACCGGTCAGAGCCGTTCCGTGGGCCACACCCAGCTCAGCAGCCCGCGGGAGGCTGCGGGGAGAGCCCCTTGCCTCCAGCACGTCTGGCTCTTCTCGAGCCCAGGGAAGGGGGGGCCCCGTGCACGGGTGAGAGCTTTCACGTTGCCCCACTCTGCAGCACGGCCCCGTGTGGGGATGGCGCCCTCTTTGACAAGTCCTGCAGTGACCGTGCCGTGGAGAGCTCAGATTCCCGCCACTACCCCGTCTTTGAGAACCCCAAACAAGGCAAGCTGCGCACCAAGGTGGAGAATGGTGAGTGACACGCGCCATCCGTCTTGCCCATGGGAAGGCTCTGCAGAGCCCCGGGCCCATCAGGTTTCTGCTGTTCGCTGCTGGGAGGGGTGACCCGGGGACAGGGATGGGGTGTAGGAAGACCAAGATTCCCCTTGGCACCTGGTAGTCGGGGAGATCTGCAAGTCAGCTAGGAGGCAGAGGTACCTGCCCAGAGCTCAGGGCAGAGAGCCTGGCTAGAAACAGAAGTGTGGAAGCCAGTTTCCCATCATTGATCTTTGTGGCCAGGGGGCGGGTGGGACCACTTGGGGTTGTGGGGAGCAGAAGGGATGTGGGACCAAGTCGCAAGGAGTGACAGAGGTGGGCACCAAGTGCACGGCTCCCTCCCATCTGCTGGCTCCTCCTCGTCCAGGGCCCTTTTTTGGGGGGGGGGTCTCCTCACACCCACCCCCCTGCCCTCAGGCCAAGTCACCTCCCTGCTTAAAACCCACAGAGCTGCCCAGGACCCAGCAGCTTGCTCCGGGGCACGTCCCCAAGAGAACAGAGACTAGCGCACGCTTGTTCGTAACAGCGGAGAAGTGGGGACCCCCCCAGGGTGTGCCCACTGGCGAGTGAACCAGATGGGGTCTGTCCACATGGTGCAGTCGGACTCAGCCATAAAAGGGGTGTAGATGAGCCCCGAGAAAGCAGCCAGTCGCTAAAGGTCCTGCGTTCCGTGGCTCCGTTTATACGAAACGTCGGGAATGTAACGCTGGCAGCCCTGTAGAGACAGAGAGTGGGCTCGTGGTTGCCTGGGGCCTAGGCTGGGAGGGTTGGCAGACGCGGGGACGCTTCTTTTGAGGGCGATGAAAGGTTCTAAACTTGACTGTGGGGAGGGTTGCTCATCCTATGAATGTACTAAAAAGCACTGAACTGTGCGCTTTAAATGGGTGAATTATATCTCACTAAAGCTGTCACTGAAAACAACGAAACAGGGCCCTGTAGCGGTTTCCCACCGCACTTCACACGCGCACGTGGCTCAGGGCCCTCGTTCGTGCTGTTCTCCGTGCCTGAAACTCTTACTCAGCTGTTGCTTCTCCTTGGTGTCTTTGCTACCCTGGCAGTTCCGTCCCTGGAGGCGCCCCGCCATCTGCCGCCATCCGTCCCCCCCGGCTTCGGGCCCCGTTGCCATTCGGAGTTCTTGTGTCCGTATGGCTTTGCTTGCTTACTGGCGGTCTGTCCCTTGCTGCCCCCTCACGCCCACGGACGTTCCAGGAGCACAGGGATCTTCCGGTTTGCTTGCCGTTGTTCCAGCACCGAGTAGAGTGCCCACACATAGTAGGTGCTGTGCAATCTGTGAAGAAGAACTGTGCGCAGCCTGGGCCCAGTGCGAGGCGTGCAAAGACCACGCTGGGAGTGGCCTGGTCCGGGGCCTCCGTGGCTCTGACCCAAGTCCCTCCGCAGGGGAAGGCACAATCCCAGTGGAGTCCAGTGACATTGTGCCCACGTGGGACGGCATTCGGCTCGGGGAGAGACTCCGCACCATGTCCTGCAGCGACAAGATCCTGCGCTGGAACGTGCTCGGCTTGCAGGGCGCACTGTTAACGCACTTCCTGCAGCCTGTGTACCTCAAGTCTGTGACGCTGGGTGAGGGCCCCCCCACCCCCACACGCCTCGCTGCCCACCTGCTGGGCGGGAGGCACGTCTTCTCACCACAGGTCCCAGGAAGACCATGGCCTCCAGCGGTGGGGTCTGGGCTTCCTGGTCGGGCAGCACCCCCCACCCCCAAGCCCGACGTGTCGTGCCTGTGGCTCTGGGGCCGCGTGCCCTGCACACCCACCGTCCGCGGGGCTGCTGCCTCGGTCCCACCCCCCGCGCCTCCGCGTCCCCCCCAGACGCCTCCGCCTCGCGGCAGCACCGAGCACAGACACAGATGCGCACCTCCATTTCCTGCACAGGTTACCTCTTCAGCCAAGGGCATCTGACTCGTGCCATCTGCTGCCGTGTGACGAGAGATGGGAGTGCCTTCGAGGACGGACTGCGGCCCCCGTTCATCGTCAACCACCCCAAGGTGCTGTGGCCCCCTCCACGTTCCCTTGACGGTCGTTCCGTCGCTGGCTGTGGGCAGGGGAGGGGCCTCTGCGGTGTCCCGGGAGCCGGTCCTTTTGTCCTTGCGGACACCAAGGGCTTTCTTCTTAGTCTGGGCCCCGTTTGAATCGAGCTGGGGTTAGTATGACCGGAGTCCTCGCCCCACAGAATTCTAGCTGCGGGCAAAGATCGTGAGCTGCCCCCTCTCCTCCGGGGGTCCCAGGGCCTTCCGGGAGGTCTCCATCTTTCCCCTGTCACTCCCGGGACCCCTAGGTGGGCCGAGTCAGCGTGTACGACTCCAAGAGGCAGTCGGGGAAGACAAAGGAGACAAGCGTCAACTGGTGCCTGGCGGACGGCTATGACCTGGAGATCCTGGACGGGACCAGGGGCGCTGTGGATGGGTGAGGCGCCGGCCCACCTGCGACCCCCCCTGCACCCCGCGCGGGCTCCCTGGTGACCCCCACCCCACACGCCCCCCGCCCAGGCTCCCCGGCGACCCCCACTGCACCCCCAGCCCCACCTGGGCTCCCCGGCGACCCCCACCTCACCCCGCGTGCCCCCTGCTCAGGCTCCCTGGCAACCCCCACTGCGCCCCCAGCCCTGCCGAGGAGCCGCTGCCTGGCGACCCCCACCCCGCCCCGCGCACCCCCGCCCGGGCTCCCCTCCTTCTCTGTTCCTGGGGAGTGACAAGCGCCTTTGTTCCTCCAGGCCGCGGAACGAATTGTCCCGGGTCTCCAAAAAGAACATTTTTCTCCTGTTTAAGAAGCTCTGCTCCTTCCGGTACCGCAGGGATCTGCTTCGACTCTCGTACGGTGAGGCCAAGAAAGCTGCCCGAGAGTACGAGATAGCCAAGAACTACTTCAAGAAAAGCCTGAGGGACATGGGTTATGGGAACTGGATCAGCAAGCCTCAGGAGGAGAAGAACTTCTACCTCTGCCCCGTGTGAGGGGCCAGGGCCTGGGGGGCGACACGGGGCCGCGGCTTTCCTCGTCACGTCAGTCTGCGGGTGTTCCTTTACTTTCCCTTTTCTTTATTTGGTGGAAGCGCGTTGGTGACACTGGGAACGGTGGGTTCCTGTGTGCCCTGCTTCTGCCAGGGGCCAGGCCCGCCCGCCTGCCCGCCCCTGCCCTCTCCACCAGGAGGGGGCCACGTCGGCCCCTCCTGCCCACCATGTGCAAGCCCCTCCCACTCAGCCCCACTTTGGTTTCCACGTCCTCTCCTCGTGTTTGCCACACCAGCCTCTCGCCGTCTGGGTCGGGCCGATCCGCGCTGAGTCCTGTCGGGGCTGGAGGTTTCGTTGGCAGACTCTGCAGGCCCCTCTGTCTCCCTCTGCCCGTTTGCGATTCCCTCCTTATGATCGTTAAGTTTCTCCTTTTCCTCCAAGAGGGTAAGAGGTGAACTTCAAGAATTCGGTGAAACAGGTATGAAGACAGGAGTTTACAAGTGCGGTCAGTTCATCACTGAACCGTGGGCATCCGCAGGTGGCGCTCGGTGACCTTCGGGTCTTGCACTTTAGCCAGCAAGGGGGGGAGGGCGGGCAGCTGGGCGGCAGAGAGGGCTGGCCTAGGGCTCGACCCACAGGAGCAAAATCCCGGGGGGGGTGACACCGACCGCCCCCACGTGCAGACCAGCCTCGCAGTACCGCACACCCGCTGTCCTCTGGAAGCATTCCTGGGGATTTGTCCTGCCGGCGGGGCACAGAGGGCCACAGACCCCAAGGCCTGGGTGGGAGAGGTCCTGCACCACAAGTCCTCTCTGTTCAGATAATCAGGACTGAGAGGAAGGGCAGAACGATCACGTTGGGTCAGATCACGGCACCGCGCGGTATCTTTCTCATGACCGTGACACCAGGGAAAGCTGACCAAGTCATGGTACCTTAGGAGTTTTTAAAAATGTCATAATGTTGATTCTTAACTGCTACAGAGCACCTGTACTTAAAAGATTTTAAAATCAGACCTAATTTTTCATTTATCCAAGTGCTTTTGTCTGCCGGGGAGTTTCAGAAGGGCAGGCCTCAGGCCTGTCAGGGAGTCTTGGCAGGCTGGATGCCCGACAGCAGTTGGAACCGAGTGAGGTGGGTCCCCTGTCTACACCTCAGGCTAGCCTCTCTGGAGCCCGGCTCTGCGCCTGCACCAGCCAGACCTGAGCCCGCCCCAGGTGACGCCTCTGTCTCTGCCCGCCGGCGCTCCAGGCCAGGCCCTCAGATGCTTGTCCCCCTTCCCTCGTGCCCCCCTCCGTACTGCCGAGGCAGCCCTGTCTGGACCCCTCTTCTGCAGTAGATACACTCACACTCACACTTTGGTTCTGGTGGCTACTGTTCCTCTGTGCTTTTGACCAAAAATTGACCAAAATTAAAAAAAAAAAACAAGTTTTTTTAAGTATACTCAAGACGTCTTTGTGGAATAGCCGGTTGTCCCACGGAGCCGGTCGGGACACAGTGCCTGTCTTCTGGGGTGAAGGGGCCCGGCCCCATCGAGCGCACCTGCCAGAGGCGTGTGGGGCCGGTCTCCCGGGAGGCAGCCAGAGGGTCTCACCTGCTGACCCCACGGAGTGTTCAGACCCTCTGCTCCATCTTGGGCGTTAGAATCTCCAGCAGAGCTGCGACCGGAGCCCAGGGGCCCTCAAAGCAGCAGATCCCCGCTCGCCCCAAGGTCAGATGAGACGCACCGGCTCCTGCTGTAGGAAGGGGGCCCGGCTGTGCCCCCCAGGAATGGAGGGTCAGAGCTCCCTCCCACAGTGCTCTACTTTCTTGTCCAATCTTTGTTTTTAGTAACCAGGACGCCCTTCTTCCTTTTTTTAAATGATCTTTGTAGTTGATTTGTCTGAACTGTGGCTATTGTGCATCCTCTGAATAATCACTTGTGAAAATTGTCGCTGCTCGAAGCTATTTCCTTTACTCACGTTGAGCGACTGTTGGTTTGGGTCCTGGTGCGACCCCACGAGCGGATGGGAAGAACCCAAACAGACTTGGCGCCACCGCAGCTGCACTCCAGCCTCCGATTCCGCTTTGATGTGTCCCTCGATAACCGTGACTAACAATATACATTCCTCCTAAATAAAGAGAATCTGAATTGTTAGAGAGTCTCCAGTCTTGGCTTCCGGCGGAGGGAGCGTGGGCGCAGAGGGGGCCGCGGCCCTGCGGTTTCTCACCTGCCGCGGGCTGCGCACCCGCGGCGCCCCAGCAGAGCCCACGGCTCCGCACCTTGTCCTCGCACCTTGGCCACCTTGTCCTCGGAGACCTCGGCCCAACGCGCAGGCGCCCCTCGCGCAGCCCCCGCCCCCCCGCCCCCAGCCGCGCCCTCGGCCCAGGTGCTCCGCCTGCTAGGAAGTGCTCCCGGCTCCCGTTGGCCTGGCCGGGCTGCGGTCTCGGTCTCGGGAGGCACTGCAGTATTTCTCCGCGTGACTCAGAATGCGCCCCTTCCCGTCTCTACCACATCCGTCCCCGGCTTAAGGACAGAGTCACCGCGAAGCCTCCTTCCCCGTCCGCGACCGATGGACAGCTGAGGCCAGGAGGGCCAGTGATGAGTTTGGGGGCACATTAAGGACCACAGCCGTGTGTGGGTGTCATTCGTGGTCCGCCGAGATCCAGGGCTTCTGAAGATGGGGAAGGAGATGTCGCCCCTGCGGGGACGGATGGGGTGGGGGGGGTGGCGGACGGGGGGGAGGGGACAGATCCCTCCCCCACGCCTCTGCCGCTGGAGAGAAACGTATCCAAGTCTTAAGGACGCAGACAGTTTCCTTCCTTCACACCGAATGAGCGCCAGACCCATGTGCGGAGGGAACGAGCCCGTCCGCACCGCCCACTCCGAGGGGCTGGGTCGCAGGGCTGCCCTTGGGAGCACGGAGTGTTCGTCAGCTCCTTATGTCTGGTCCCGTTCAGGGGCCACAACCGAGCACCTGCCAGGTTCGGGCCCGAAGCAAACCAGGGTTCTGGGGACAGGTGTGGCCTTCGCACAGACCACAGCCTTGACCTCCCCGCGCACGCCAGCTGTGCGGAGACTCCCGCCGACCCTGCCTCCAGGGCCCTTCTCTACGAGCGCCCCCCAGGAGCTATCCATTTCTTTTCCATCTGACGAGTGCCCTTGTCAGGCATCGATTACAGAAATTAAAGTTACTGCTCACCTTCAGAGTCTTGCACTGTCTTTCATGGCTCATGGGTCCAATTTCTCCAGCATCACCCCCAGTTTCCCAAATTTGCCGACCCTGGCCCCCAAATAGAGCACAGAGACAAGACATGTTTGGAAACAACTTTCTTTACAAGAATCTTGAGTTCCTAAGGAGTCTGGCCTGGAGCGGGCTAGACCAGTGCCAATATTCCAGAAGCACAGACAAGGGAGGCCAAGGCCGAGGGGGGGGGCGGTGCTCTGAGGGTGGGTGGGTGAGGCGTCTTAGCTACAACTCCTAGACCTACAGTCCCTCAGGAGCCATGTGACACTCAGGCTGGGCCCTCGGGCCTGTTGGGACAAACATGGAAACACGCTGCCAATTCTCACTCCGGCCTGGATGGCTGACAGCCGGCACCTGCTGGGCTGAGGGACCGGACGAAGAGGCTGAGAGCTGGCGCCGAGTGCACTCTGGCCAGGGAGCGAATCAGAGAGGCCCCTTGCTTTCCCCGAGCCCGCCTCGAGGCCCAGCCGTTTGGACGGCTCAGCTGAGTCAAGCGAGTGGACGGGCCCCTTCCCTGCAGAACAAAGGCCTGGGGCTGGGAGGAGTAGGAGTCGTGCCCCCAGATCCTGCCCAGAGCACTCCCCGCCCCTCACCCTTCCTGCACGCACAGCCTTCCTCTGCAGGGAAGGCCAGCTGGGAGGCTGCCTTGTCTTGTTTGCTTTCAAGTTTTTGGTGACTCAGTCCAGCTGTTGCAGTATCAGACGCCTCGCCACCAAGAAAGTGCTTTCCTCCTGCAGCAGCGCCAACCGTCAAAAGCAGAGTGGGCAGGCCCGCTCGTCGGGCAGGGTGCCCTGCAGATGGAGACAATCCCGCCTGCTTCCTCAGCAGCCCCTCCCAAACCCACCTTGCTCAGGCTTCGGTCCAGTGTCTGCACCGCCCTCTCCAGACTGGGGGCACTGAACGGGGCACCTGACGCTCTCCAGAGACGGCCCCCCATGGAAGGGGCAGGGAGCTCCCCTGACAACACCAAGGTAAAAGAAGGGACGATGCTTGTCCCCATTCAGGCAGCAATCTCCAGGCCTAAAAGCCCTCTAGCATTTTTGGTGACTTACTTGGACAACAGCCCCTTGGAAGGAGTACTCCAAGCAAGGGCAGGCCCAGCCATGTAGCCCAGGCCACAGTGAGGAGCCCGGGAGAGCCAGAAACGAGGGCCTCGGGCCGGCACCCCATCCTGCAGAGGGAGGGCTCCTTTCCAGTTGCTCTTCGGGCTCCTGGGGGCTTCCCCAGGGCTAGGGATCCGCAGCAGGTCCAGGCATGATACAGGCAACTCTTAATTTGCTGCTCTAGGACAGGGCGTCTCCGCAGGGCCAAGCCACCCACTCAGAAGGGAGGTCACGAGCCCGCTCCGGCAGGCCGGGAAACACGCCGAGGCACATCTTGCCCAGTGGCCACCTGGGTGTCCACAGCCAGGACAGGACGAGGTCCACCCAGAGGCCCTGAGCACACACCTGCGTCGGGAGGAGCTCAGCCCAGGAACGGAACGATGCTTTGCTGAGGGCACTCCAGAGAGCAACAGCCATCAGACCCACTGAGCGGCCCCTGGAAAGTTCCCCTCGACTGCACTCCTCCAGTCCCCGGCTCCCCAGACTCCCACCCTGCTTCAGGGGACTCTGTTTGCTCAAGGAAGAGAGAGGGAGAGGAGGGGTGTGCGAGGAAGGCTGTCAGGACAGTCAGGTGAGCCCACCGCCCCCAGCTCTGCCCAGCTCCTGGCCTGCACACACACCAAGTCTTCGCCAAGTACAGACTGGGCTGCTTCCTCCTCGCTACCGTCCCCATTCAAGAGATGAGGTCACTGAGGCCCAGAAAGGCAAAGGGACTTGCTCCCTGTGGCTGAGCGAGCAGGTATGAGCCAGGACCGGAATCCAGACTGAGACCGTCTGGTCCCGTGGCCGACGCGGTGCGTCTCCCCCAACCCGTGAGCACTGCAGAAGCAGGGGTCCAGCTGGGCCCCCGAGGACGGCATGGTCTGTGTCAGCCGGCCTTTCGGCCGCGCTGGGCAGCCTGACCGGTCTGTGACCGGCCCCCACTGGCACTGAGGACAGGCCAGGACCACAAATCAGAGCCAGTCACATGGCAGGGGTTGGGGCAGGAGGTCCATCAGAGGTCTGTTTCCTAGGCTAAGAGGCCAGGTGGCCCCCAGCTGGTCCCTGGGAGCAGGGTCAGGATACAGCCTCCACAAGGCCCACAGGACAGAGGCAAAGGCCGTGCTTTCTGAGGAGCCGATGACGGCAATGAGGTTCTGCCTCCGCCCCGCTCAGGTCTGCTTGTGGGGTGCGGCCGGGCCAGTGCTCTCTCCTGCCCAGCCCCCTCTGCTGCGTGCAGAAAGGCTGCGTCTGCTCAGAGCTAACAGCTTCACTTTCCTGACTCCAAACACCGGTCAGTTCAAGTGGGGAGACCGCCGAAGAGCTTGCATTTTGTGCACAGTTGGAGGACGTGGTTCCAAGCAGCCAAGGAAGGCTCCCAACGCAGGGGTTCGATGCCCAGCCTGGCCCGCCCCACCCGGCCCGAGCAAGAAGGAAAGTGGGGGGAAGTCCAGGGGTGCAGGGACCTGGGGCTGGGCCCTGGAGCCCCTAGAAGCAAGGGGCTGCGGGGCTGGGCTGGAGGGCCCCCAGGGGTCTGACCACAGCGCCAGGTAAGCCCCTGGGCAGACCTGCCAGCCCAGAAGCAGTGTACCTAGGCAGGGGCCCTGGGACTCTGCCCCTGGCCCCTTCCCCATCACACTTCCCTCAGAGGGGAAGGCCCAATCTCCATGCCCCATCTCTCAGCCTTCATGCCCGACCAGCAGCACTCCCGCCCGACTGCGGTAAGAAGACAGGACGGCAGCGGGTCCAGCCTCCAGCCTCCAGGGCGCGCTGTCTGTCATTCACCAGCGGGGCTGGGAGGGGCTGCGGGGGGCGGAGAGGCTGGGTCTGTGGCAGCGCACCCCCTCCCCCGCCCCCGTAGCTCACTTGTCCCTCCTCCCCGCAAAATGACTGTGTACAGAGGGCAAGGGGTGGAGTGGCGCGGAGCCGGGAGGGCCTCACTTGGAGCTGGGTGCTGAGTGGTCTGCGTGCAGAAAGGGAGCAGTGGAGTAGTTCTGGAAGAGAGGCTGCAGGAACATGCCAATGGTGCCAAAAACACAAACGAAGACAAAGATCCAAAGGAACAGGCGGTCGATCACCATGGCAACGTACTTCCAGTCCTCACTCACCTGGACAGAGGAGACAAAGGAGGCCGGGGTATCAGTCACATGATGCAGGACAGGAGTGAAATGGGAATAGGCCGGTCTCACCACACACACACACGCGTGTACACACCCATGCACACACACGCGTGTACACACGCACCCCCCTCCTCTCCCTCCACGACCCCACAGCGACTTTTCCAAAGTGTGGCTCCCAACTTGCCTGCTTCAAAGCCTCCAGCGGCCCCACCACCTTCAGGGCCCATCCAAACTCCCAAGTTTGGATTGAAGACCCACCGTGACAAATACGCACCTACCTACTTACCATCCTCTTCCTCCCTCTGACCCAGACTTACCAAAGCCCCATGAGCGCTCTCAAGTCTCTGTGCCTTTGAGTTTCCTTTCTGTCTAGAATTCTGGTCTTCCCTTTCTCTGCCTGGTGAACTCCTACACATCCTCTAAAGCCCAAACCAAATGTTACCTCTTCTCTGAAGTGATCTTTTCTGATACTCCTGATCAGAATGAACCACTGTCCTCTCCGGACTCCCTCAGCAGGTGGACACATCTTGATCACAGTGTTTTTACTGCACTGTATTGCCATTTCAATTTGCGTGTCTGCCATCCTACCCCGCCCCCGGCCAGCTACGAGTTCCTAAATGACAGGGACCCTGGCTGATTCGCTTTGCAGTCCCAGCCTGTGCAAAAGAGTGCTGTTATCGAGTGAATGGCTGGCTCCACAGGCCCCCGTCCAGCCGTGACTGCCTGGGGCAGCCCATCCAACAGCAGCAGCTCCAGCATGCAGGCCCCAGAGGGTGAGCACTGGTCCCAGACGCGACCAATCCATCGGAAAGAGGATACCGTCTGGGTCTGACAGCTGTCACGGGGCCGGCCCCCCTTGAGCCTGAGTCAGGGCCTTTGCACGCATTCATCTGGGGGCCCAGGAAGGAGACCGCTGTGCACCTTCATTTGGTCGGCTGCTGAGCAACAGCTTGCTCGCACCGGCTGTGGGCCTGGCTCCGTGCCAGGCACGGGGGTGTGGCCAAGAGCCAGACAAATGCTGGCTGTGGCTCACTGTCCACGGAGGGAAAGGGGCACAAATAAGCGAGACTAAAGTAATTACACGCTGGTGGGTGCTGATAAGGAAACAAAGAACTGAGAGAGAGCTACGGAGGGGAAGACACACTGGAGGGTGTGGTCTGGGATGGCCTCTCCGAGGAAGGGACACTGAAGGTCACGTTGGAACGTAAGAAGGAGCCAGCTGTGGCCGGAACAACGTGAAGAAGCAATCAGACAAACCCGAACCGAGGGCCAGCCCACACCCGTCAAAATGTTGACGCTATGAAAAACAGAGCTGAGAAACTGTTCCAGATCAAAGGAAAAGAAAAAGGTAGGACAACTGAGTGCAATCTGAGATCCTGGATCAGGGTGGGGAGCGCTGCAAAGGGCATTACTGAGAAAGCTGGAAAACTTTTTTTTTTTTTAAAGCTTTATTTATTTGAGAGAGAGCGAGCAGGTGCACATGGCAGTGGTGGGGGGCAGAGGGGGAGAGAGAATCTCAATTCGACTCCAAGCTGATGCAGAGCCAGATGCAGGGCTCCATCTCATGACCTTGAGATCATGACCTGAGCCAAAACCAGGAGTCGGATGCTTAACGGACTGCACCACCCAGGTGCCCCAAAAGTTGGAAAACTTTTCTTTTAAGGCTTTATTTACTCATCTGAGAGAGAAAGAGAGAGCATGAGCAGGGGAGAGAGGCAGAGGGAGAGGGAGAAGCAGGCTCCCCACCGAGGCAGGAGACCAACATGGGGCTCAATCCCAGGACCAGGAGAAGCTTAACCATCTGAGCCACACAGGCGCCCCCGGAAAACTTTTAATATGGATTTTATATCAGTTAAAGATATTATATGGATGTTGAATTTCCTGAATTTGATCACTGATCCTGGTTATGCAAGACAACATCTCTATTCTCAGGACAAGACACACTGAAGTATTCGCGATAAAGGGTCACAACGACTGCAACCTACTCTCAAACAGGAGAGCGAACATTAATAGTAATAATAATACTTTTTTTAAAAAATTTATTTGAGAGAGAGAGAGAGTGTGTGGGCGGTGGGGGGAAGTCGGGAGGGAAAGAATTCCAAGCAGACTCCCCACTGAGGGCAGAGCCGGGTTGGGGGCTCAATCCCACAACCCTGAGATCATGACCTGAGCCGAAATCAAGAGTCGGATGCTTAACGGACTGAGCCACCCAGGAGCCCCAGTAATACTTTTTTAAAGGAAAAAAAAGAAGGGCATTCCAGGCAGAGAGACCAATGGGTGCAAACATCCTGAGGTAAGACAGAGCTTTGCTTGCTTAGACTAGTGGGCCAGTGACCTGAGCCAGGGAGGAGAAGGCACAAGGTGAGAAGGAGACGTCGCGTATTTGGAGGAAGGAGAACAGAGCTGACTCGGGGAGACTACCAGGAGACCCTGCCCCGGTCCGGGAAGAGCTGGGGGAGGCCTACCGTCCCGGGAGGACCCTGGAGAGGTGAGGAGGAAAGAGATAGCTGAGAGGACTTTGGAGATTGTGCTCACAGGGCAGGACTTCCGCTGACTTGGATGGTGGGGGAGGTGAGAGAGAGAAGAGTCAAGAATCACTCCAGGTTTTTGGTCTGAACCTCTGGGTGCACGGCGATGCCATTTACTGTAAGATGGGGAGACTGCAGGAGAAGCAAGCCGGTGGTGGGGCTTAGATGGAGCACTGGGGCTTGGACGTGTGAGGTCTGAGATGCCAGCGCGGGTCCAAGTAGGCCACTGCACCGAGCACCGAGCGGACTGCGGCGGGGGCGGCGCGGGCGGGACGCGCGGCTGAGCCCCCGCGCTGCCGGGCCGCGTCTCCCCGGGCCTGCTCCCGCCTCCGCCCATCAGGCACGTACCCTGCTCCCTGGCCAAGCCCCCCTCCAGCCCGCGGTCCTGCCCTCCTGGGGAATGGAAAGGCCAGGCTCTCAAGCCCCCACCCCCACCCCGAGCGGTAGCGCTCGAGCCGCCCTTCCTCACCCCCAAACCGGAACGGCTGCATCCTAGCGGAAACCTGGCCGGTCACCATGGCAACCACTGCCGGTACCCGAAGGCTGACCGCTGGCCGCCGCCGGCCCGTAGCACTCTGCCCCTGCGCGGGCTCGGGGCTCCCGGGGTCCCCCTCCGCGGCGGGGGCCGCGGTGGAAAGAGCCGGGTGCGCGCACAGCGGGGGCGCTGCTCTGGGAAGCCCCTGCCTCCACCTGCCCCTCCTCCAAAACGATTCCACCAGGCGGTCCCAAAGGCGCAGAAAAGGGGTGTGACTTGGGCCTCTGCCCCCACCCATCTTCGACCGCCCCCAATTCCGCCCCCCGCGGGACGGACGAGGGACCCGGAGCCCTTCGTGCCGAGAGCTGCGATCACCAGTCGCCAGCTCGGACTCGGGGGGCCAGCGGGGGTTGGGCCTCGGGGTCGCGGCCACCGGCCGGCCGCAAAGCCACCAAGGCCCCCCCGCGTCCCCGCCGCCCGTACCGACTCCAGCCTCCGCGGCGCCGCCTCCCGGAAGCCCACCGAGGAGAGCCCGAGGAGGCCACAGCGGCCG